CAGATCTGCCAGGGCAGCCGGGATAGGTCTGCAAGGTGGGTGACCCCCACCCCCCACCAATTCTTGCTCTCATTTTCCATCTCTTTTCCCAAACTGGGAGAAAATAAAATTCAAGAGGGGTGGGAGTTCCTCAGAAGTTTAATGGTTATGAGAAGAGAGATTTCTTGTAGGAGCAGAGATATGAGGAGGCCAGACAGACAGGTGGCGGGGGGCCGCTCCACAGACTGCCTTGGGAAGTGTGATCAGGGATATGAGTTGTGCTGGAGGAAGTGGGGAGAGATGGGAAACAACCTCATCTGAGAGAGAGAGAGAGAGAGAGAGAGAGAGAGAGAGAGAGAGAGAGAGAGAGAGAGAGAGAGAGAGAGAGAGGAAGGAGAGCTGGCAGGTCCAGACTCTGGCCCTATCCCATTCGACTTTGGAGTTTTATATTTGGAGGCAATTCAGAAGGCCTTCAGCTGATTGGTCATTAATCCGGTGAGTTATTGTCTGTTAAACAGAGGTCACTGGGAGAGAGACATCCAATCTGTCAGGGGAGACCCGGCAGTCACTCCCTGGCCCGCGTCTCCCCCCCCCCCCTTCCTCAGCACCCCACCCCCTGCCCCGCTGTCCCAGGCTCGACCCTCTCCCTGGTGCCTTCGCCACTTTGCCCACCTTTGTCTCCACATCCGCGGGTGTGGGTTAGCTAGGCCAGGACCCAGTTTCTAGATGAGGCGGGACCCCTGATTCAGAATGGACTCCTGTGCCAGCGAGGCGCCCGCCCGCCCGCCCACCGGAACTCCCAGCTTGGCCGAGGCAGCCCCATCCGCTGCTCTCCAGTGCTTTAGGGTCGGTGGACACGGAGGAGTTTTCCCTCTTCACCCCGTCGCTTGGGGTTGGGGGAGAGTACAGCTTGGGTTTTCTCCCACCCTAGTGGCCTTTTTATCCTTTCGATCCCCGTTTCTGCTGAGCCAGGTCTATGCCAGGTCTACACCGGTCTCTGCCCCTTTGTTCCCTCCAGCTCCCGGCGGCGTCTTGGGTGGGTGGGGTGGGGTGGGGTGGGGTGGGAGGAAGGCAGGTTTGAGGATCCAGATACCAGGAGTGGTCTTCAGGAGCAATTTCCAGTTTATAATCCCAGCTTTAAAACTGTGAGGGGTATTTAGATGGAGATGGGGGTGCGTGCGTGAACTTTACAAGACTCCGCCGCTGCAGCAAAGTTGGGCAGTGAAGCTGGAAGGTGTGGGTCTGGGGACAGACAGGAACAGATCCCCAGATGCTTCGTTTGGCTCGCAGGTCCTGGAGTTTGGGGCAGGCTGAGCTGGGGGCGGCATCCTTGGTCACCCCAAGGCTGATAATCAGAAATCAGAAATCGATTTTAACTGGGCCAGCCAATTTGTGCTTTTTGAGAGGGGAATTTTCGTTTGCTCTTTGATTTTTGTGTGTGTATGCGGGGTGGGTGGGAGGGGTTCGGGGAGAGAAGCTGATAGGATTCCCAAAGGCCTGGAAGGCTGGGCCGCCGGGGACTTCTCCCGGGTGTTTAAGGTGCTCTGTGTCCCCTGGTGCTGGGCGCAGGGTAGGAGTGGGGGAGGGGAGTGCCAGTGCCAGAAGAGCGCTCTAGCTTTTCGGAAACTGAAGGAGAGAGAAAAGAATGTCTATGAAGGGGGACATTTTCTCTAATTCTTAGCTTTATTGTTAAGTTTTGCCTTTAATTATTAGATTAAAAGTCTCTGTGTCTTGATCTTTCTCTCCATTTTTTTCAATCTCTCTCTCAATACACACACACACACACACACACAGTAAGTTGTTAGGTTTCCCTGCCTTGAGTCCAGGAAGAGGTGGTTTCCTCTCCTCTCTGTAATCTAGGACTCTCTTGGCATCACCGAGGCCCCCTTCCCTTCTCTTCTCCAGACCCCCAAGTCTCCCCTCAAACCCCTCTGGAGTCTCCACCCCAAGGCCCCTGCCCACACTCCTCGCTGGCCGCCCTTTGTCCCTTGAAGTTTGAAAGGTCCCAATCCTGCATCAACGCCTCAAACAAACGAAATGGGAGCCCTCAGGGCTGCCTGTGCTCCCCCCCACACCCCCCACCCGCCCAGTCCCCATCTGGGGCAGCCGGCTAGCCAGAAATCTCGGAGAAAGGAAGCAAAAGGGCAAGAAAGAAACCAAAATGGGACCTAATTGCCTCCCAGACATTTGAGAGGGGCTCTGCTTCCCAGAATTAAGAAGTCTCGCGTCATCTCCGACCGCATTTGGGGGTGCATGTCTTCTGAACTTTCTCTCCAGGTTAGTTTTCTTGCTCCCCAGTTCTTTCTGCTCCCGCCCCAGGACACCCCATTTCTTTGTGACGCTCGAGGCAGCACAGTGAGTGGGGCTCCAGGAGGGGAACAGCTCACTGCTGCCTCTGGAAAGTGCCTGCACCCCCAGCTCAGCCCCAGGCCCTCCAGGCTCTCTCTTTATTCCTTAACGCAAAGCTTGGGAGCCACGGACAACCAGGTTTTCTCTTTTCTCTTTTTATGATGATCTTCTCTAGCAACAGCTTGGAGAGAGGGCGGGTCTGAGATACATTCTTGGCTTTTTAACTTTGGGGAGTGGGAGAAAAGACCCAAAGGTGCTGGTTCCCTTAAGCCTCTGGAAGCCTCCCTGGGCTGAGTCCCTGACCCCTCAGACCCAAAGCTACAGAGTCCCACTCGGCAGGTCTCTAACCAGGGACTAGAGAGCTCAGGACCCATTCCTTGCAGCCACATACTCAGGGAGCCATCATCACTCTCTTTGGGGGTCATGGCTGGAGCCCCCACATTGGGTCTGGCTTGGGCATTGTCTTTTCTCGATACCATTGATGAACCCAGAACAAAATGGCTCCCACCCTCTATCCTCATCTGCCCTCTCTCTCAGCCACCATCTCCCTGGGAGGCCGCAGGATCCTTGGGGATATCACAGTGAAAGCTCTGCATGCTGTTCTGTGGCCAGAGGGTAGGGAGGCCCTGGGTCCCCCATCCCTCCATTCAGCAGGGCCCCAGGAAACCTACTGCTTCCACCCAGAAAGCCTGACTTAGGGGGCTGGGAGAAGTGGGGGCCAGAGGAGCCCAGGAACCACTTCCTGTGGGAATGGAATACTTTCTCAGCCCAATGCAGAGCCTGGGAGGGAGGGACGCTCGGATACGAGGGAAGCTTTGCCAGACACAACCCCCCTCTCCTGGAAGGAAGACAATAGAAGAGCTGGAAACGGTCTCTCACCTTTGTTCTCCCAGTCCCATCTCTCCTTGGTGCATCCAGATGGGAGAAGGCAAAAGCCCAGTATCCTAACCGGGAGCTCCCAGGGCCAGGGGCTGCTTTAAGTTTTCCCAGCTGCCTTTGTAGGGGAAAAGAGAGAGGCTGCCTGCCTCCCTCCTCTTTTTCCCCCTCAGCCCAGAGTCAGCAGTTAGGCCGAGTTGCAAACCATCCTGCTCTGGGGAATGTCCGGGTGCTCTTTTTGTCTTCCCTCCACCAACGGGGCTCTCTCTTCCCCACCCCCGAGCCAAATCTGCAGACACCTACATTCCTGGCCCCGGTCTTCCTCCCACAGGCCTTCCCGCCCTCACACACAGGCCCTGCGGAAAGTTCAGCTTTCACCCTCTTCCTTCCTTCTGCCAGGAGCCATCCTCTCTCAGAGCTAAGAGAGCAGGTTTGTTCTGAAGAACAATCATGATCACAGCCACCACAGCTAGCCGCTGTCTCTCCTGCCAGGTCCCTCCACCTTGAGCCATTTTGCGAGTTCTTCTCATCTTCTTAGAAGTACAAATCCCCTTAGCACCTCTCAGCCCCCTCTGCCCGCCCAGAGGTGAGAATCCGCACAGAAACTTCTCTGGGAAGTTCTCACAGACCATGGCCAGCCCGCCCTGAGCTGAAACTAAACACAGGGTCCTCCTTTTGTCACCATCTCATCAGCCCCCCCACCCCCCGCCCCACCTCGCCCTGCAAGATGGTCTGGGTTTTTAAGATAATCACTCACCGCTTGTTGTCTGTTCTCAAAAAAAAAGGGGGGGGGGAGGGGGCTGTTTTAAAAAAAAATCTGCCCCCCCCCACCTACCAGTTGGAAACTGGGTCTGGAAACTTGTGGGGAGAGAGGAAGAATGGAGTGGGTGTGGGGGGAGGAGAAGCAGACCGGGAGGCTCAGATGGAGGGAGCGGGAGCCGGAGGGCGGGAGACCCAGCCACCAGTCCCAGAGGAGTGAAACTACTTAAAAAAAAAAAAAAAAAGTCCTCGTGTTCCAGGCAGATGAATACAGAGGGGCGCCCAGCACCCCACCCCCAGGGAGGCCGGGGCCTCTGACGAGGCTTCCCCACCGCTACTTCCATTAGCATAATGGTTTGCTCCTGGGGTGGCGAGCGCCGGGCGCACCAACTGGCTGCAGCAGCGCCTTGCCTGGCTCCCCCTGCCTCGCCTGCCGAAACCTCCATTTCAAAATGTACCTGTTCTTACAAAATGAAAAGACACACACACACACACAAATCCCAGACCTCTACCTTCTTTCCTTACCCTTTTTTGGGGGATGGGGGTGGGGGTGGGTGTAAACATCCCCTCTTCCCCCAATACCACCGTCACCTTCCCTCCTTATCAGGCATCTAAGCTCGCTCAAGGGGGAGAGGTGGTGTGTGTGTGTGTGTGTGTGTGTGTGTGTGTGAGCTGAGTGTGTGAGTGTGTGTGTGTGTGCATGTGTCTGTGTGGTTTTTTTTCCTCCCTGTGCAAAAGCAGAGGCCATTGTTACGGAGAGTAGGGCGTACCAGTCTTATAGGGCAACCGCACTGTGGCGACTTGGCCGTGGCGGAGCCCGGAGCTGGATCCCGGGCGAGCCCCGCAGCCCAAGCGCCGCTCGGTCCGCTCCGCGTCTCCCCGCGCCCCGGCCCCCGCCCCGCGCCCGCCGAGTGAATCGGAGCGGACGCCGCGGCTCCCGGCCGGCGGCCCCCGGGCGCCCCAGCCGGGGTGGCTGCGGGGAGGGGGCGCCGCCGCCGCCGCCTTAAACAGGGGTCTTTTCTCCCTTTGCCTTCAAGGAGGGGAGATTTCTCGCCTGCCGCTCGCGCTGGGGCTCGATGTGAATATATATTATGTCTGCCTGTTCTCCCCTCGTCGGTGGCTAAGGTAAGCTGGACTAAAATAGGCTATCAGTTTGTGAATGGCGGAGAGTATGTCTCAATGATTTATGGCCCATATGACTCCAATCTCGGTTCAAGAAGAGTTCACAAGCTTTAAGCTTCCTTCCACGCAGCGGCTGACTCTCTCTCTCTCTCTCTCTCCCTCCCTCCCTTCCTCCCTCCCTCTCTCTCTCTCTCTCTCCTTCTCTCCCTCCCTCTCTCCCTCTCTCTTCCTGCTTCTCTCCTTTTCTCTCCTTTTTCTTTTAGCAACCAGGTCCTGGGCAGATTTTTTTCCTCCCGATAATCAGAAGAGCCTAACCTTTTTCTCTCCCTTCCCTGTTTTTATTTTTCTCCCATTCATTTATTATTATTTTTTTTTTTTAAGTCCTGGAAGGTGGCCTATTCCCCCCCCCCAGATTCTCCCCCCCCCGTGGTGACTCCCCAGGCTCTCCCAGGGGTGTGCCCTGCCTGGTGGGGTGCTGGGGGTGGCTCCCTCCAGCCAGACCCTGGGGGGAAGCCCGGAGCCACCGGCTCCCTCCCGAGAAGCCAGATGGAGCCTGGGTTTTTCCAACATGGAGGCGAGGGGGATAGACACGTTTGGCCGGGTGTAGAGCTGGTCCCCGCCCCCCGCTTCTCCCGGATCCCCCCGATCGCGGGTCCCCCCCAGGCACCTTCCCCTCTGCTCGCCGCCCGGCCCGCCTGGCCTGGGCGCCCCGCAGCCGGGCCGGCCCGGAGCGGAGTTGCCGGCGCCTCTTAGTCCGGTTCCTCCGGCGCCCGAACTTGCCGCGCCGCCCGCGGGGCCGGGCGCTCCGCCCGGGGCGCTGGGAACCCGCCGCCGCCAGCCCGGCCGGCGTCCCGGGCTCCCGCCTCCGCGGGCGGCGGAGCTGGTGGCGGGTCTCCCGGCAGCGGCGGCGCGGACAGCCCGGCTGCGGCGGCGGCGGCCGGGGCTCAGCCCTCGCTCCCTCCCGGCCCCGGCCCCGGTCCCCGCCGGCGGCGGCGACGGCGGCTCCATGCTCGCCGACCGCGCTCCCGGCTCCTCCGCTCCCCACACTCCCCGGCCTCGGCCCTTCGGGTCTATTGCAGGGGAGCGACAGGAATTTGGGCCTCAAATTATTGCTTTATTATCCTCCTCCTCCTCCTCCTCCTTCTCATGACTGCTGTAACCATCATTTAGACTAAATAAAGCCAGGGCCCAGCCAGCCAGCCCCCTCCAACGTTTTTATTTTTATCTTATTTTATTCTCCTATCTATTAATCACAAACTCAACGGATGCCTGCTAATTAATTCCCCCTTCAGCCAGGGCGGCAGCTCCGAAGCTAATTTTGGTTGAATCATCGGAGACGAATGGTGGTAATAATAATAATCCGGGGCCTGGGTCAGCCTGGTCCATGGACTCCCGTTTTCCTGAAAGGACCTGCTGCCGGCCGGTGTGTGTATTTTCCAGGAACAAATTCTTCCGGGAAGCCAATCGGAACTCAGGGCCACCCCGGCTGGCTGTCTTGGCTGGCTGTCTTTTGAGTATAAATCTGTGCGATGAAGAAGGGGATTTATGTGTGGGAGGGACTTCCTTCACCTACACTCCTTTTCTTTTTTTTTCCTTTCCTATTTTTTAAGTTTTCTTTGGAGTTTGCCAGCTGGGCTGAGTGAGATTTAAGGATCCCAAACTCACATGTCAGGAGAGAGGGTCAGGCTGGAGGTTTTATGAAAAAAGGGGTGGGGAGGCATTGGGGAAGACAGAGGAGGGGGGGGATGAAGTCAGAAGTTTCAGAAGAAATATACAACAATCCTATGACAGCTTGAACCTTTATTTTCCCGGCACACTTTTAAAAGGCTGCATGAAAAAAAAAGATTTTATTTAAAAAAAATTTTGCCCCAAAGAACTTTAATAAACAGGGGTAAGATACCCAGCTAGAGAATAATATTGTTGTTGACTTTTTTTTTTTTTTTTTTTTTTTGCCTAGGGAATTTTTTTTTTCTCTTTTAGAAAGTCTTTTCCCATCTCTTGGTAGAAAAGTCCAGCAGTTATCCAGTTTCTTTCTTCTTCTCTTCTTCTGAAGGAGTCAAAGGGAACAAACTGTCAAGAAAAGGGTGGGAAAAATTAAGTCCCGTGAAAAAAATGAAGGAGGGAGGAGACCTGGGCCAAATGGTCACAGCACTGACCAGCCGGCCCGGGAATTGACACAATCCCGCTCCATTTGGGGGCCCCCTGGGGGCGGCTGGCCCGGTCCCGGACCTGGCTGGGCCAGGACTCAGGCTGGAGGAGGTGGTACCTGGAGCAGGGACGCGGGAAAGGCCAGGTTTCTCTGGTTCCCGAGGTGAAAAGTCTCCAGGAAGTTTCTAGATCAGGCCGTTGTTATTGTCTTGGTGAGCGGAGAGGATCCCTTCCCCAAGAAGGCTCTCTGCTCACCATGCTGCTTCCTCCTGGCTCTCTCCGAGCCGTTTTTCCTTCCGCTGAGCCTCTGCGTGGGTGAGAGAGACCTGGATGGACACGGAGGGAGGGAGACAGAGGCAGGAGGCCTGAGCTCAGGGTATTGCTGATGCTTTTAGAGTCTCCCAGTCTCCCCCCCACCCCCCCTGGAGCCCCCCTCTCCAGAGTTGGGGTGGAGGAGCTAGGGGGAGGGAGGAGGAGAGGTGAGAGGCTAGTGTGCTGGCAGGCGAGAAAGCAGGGACTTTTGCAGCAAGTCATACGATTCCATCCCTAGCCAGACCACAACGGTGTGTGCAGTCCTTATCTTTACGTGGCAATGAGAACCGGCGGGCTTTTACTTTAAAATTAAAGCGTAGAAATCAGAAAAATCCATTGCCTCAGCATCTGCTGTGAAGATGTCGGGGTTGGGGGAGAAGAAAAAAAATCTCTATTGATGTCAGCTCCCTTTTCAGTCCCTAAGATGGATTCGAGCCCCAGTCCTCTTCTCCCCCTTGTGTTTCTTCTCTCCCCCCGCAGGTCAGCCAGCGGCTCCCTCCGAACAGACCCCGGGAGGAGGGGGGCGGACAAGGGAGGGGGGGTCCGGCGCCCCACGTGACCCCCGGGGGTGCCAATGTCCGGTCGTGAGGGTCCCAGGCCCTCGCAAGTCGCCCCCCGCTGCCCGGGTCCCGCCCAGCGATGCAGAAAGCCACCTACTACGACAGCAGCGCCTCGGCCGCCCTCTTCGGAGGCTACTCCTCGTACCCCGGCAGCAATGGCTTCGGCTACGAGGGCGCCCCCCAGGCCCCGTTCCCGGCCGCCGCGCACCTGGAGGGCGACTACCAGCGCGCGGCGTGCTCGCTGCAGGCCCTGGGCGGCGCCGGCCCGCACGCCAAGGCCAAGGAGCTCAACGGCGGCAGCTGCATGAGGCCCGGCCTGGCCCCCGAGCCGCTGCCCGCCCCGCCCGGCTCGCCCCCGCCCAGCGCCGCCCCCACCAGCACCTCCAGCGGCGGCGGCGGCAAGGGCGGCCCCCCCAAAGGCGGCCCCGGCGCCAGCGCCACCCTCACCAAACAGATATTCCCCTGGATGAAAGAGTCGAGGCAAACGTCCAAGCTGAAAAGCAGCTCCCCCGGCACAGGTACCGGCTCTCTGCGCTTTTGTCCGGGGCCAGGAATGTCCCTGTTATTCTAGCACCAGCCCCGCGGCGCCCCGGCGGCGGCCCCCGAACAATATCAGGTGGAGGTGCGGCTCCCTGACCTCCCACCGCCTGGTGACCCCTGACCCCACCGACACCCTCTCCCCCCGGCCACCCTCCACCCTCCACCCAGAGATGGAGAGCTCCAGAAAGGCCGGGCGCTGGGCCTCGGCCCTCCCCAGGCCGCCGGGCCTGGAGACGCTGCTGCTGCCGGCAGACGCAGAGCCGCCCACGATTGATTATTATTAAGTATGATCACTGCGGGTATTAATCACACGCCCTGGGGCGGCCCCGGGGTCCCGGCCTGTGGGCTACGGCCGCCTCTTCGCGCCGCACACTCCCGTGTCCTGCCCACGGATGTCCTGGCTCCCCCAGGGTCCTCCTGGGCCACCCATCCTGGTCACAGGCAGGGGCAGGAAATGGGGGGGTGGTGTCTCCCCAGGCCTGGAATTAAGGATGGGGGAGAAGGGACGAGAGAGAGAGAGAGAGAGAGAGAGAGAGAGAGAGAGAGAGAGAGAGAGAGAGAGAGAGAAATCCAGCCCCACATAAACAGCCATGTGGCTCTCGGTCTGCGTGACACGATCAAATTTTCATAAGCTGGGGCAGCGAGAGGAGAACAGGTCTCTTAATAAATGCCACTATTATAGAGTGTCCGCTAATGCGACGGGCGGGGGGGGGGGGAGAGGGATGGGAGCGAGGAGGAGGAGGAGGCGGGGACGGGGAGGGGAGGCGGCGGGGGACCCGAGTCCAGGCCTGGATTTATTAAGAAATGATGCATTCAATTTCGGCGTGTTCAGTAATTATCCTTTATTTCATTTTCTCCCCTTCCCGCCCCTCCCCCTCGGATCCAGCGGAGGGCTGCGGCGGCGGCGGCGGCGGAGGAGGCGGAGGCGGAGGCGGAGGAGGCAGCGGTGCAGGAGGAGGAGGAGGAGGAGGCGGCGGCGGCGGCGGCAGCGGCGGGGGAGGGGACCGGAGCCCCCCGGGCTCGGCGGCGTCCAAGCGGGCCCGCACGGCCTACACGAGCGCGCAGCTGGTGGAGCTGGAGAAGGAGTTCCACTTCAACCGCTACCTGTGCCGGCCGCGCCGCGTGGAGATGGCCAACCTGCTGAACCTCAGCGAGCGCCAGATCAAGATCTGGTTCCAGAACCGGCGCATGAAGTACAAGAAGGACCAGAAGGCCAAGGGCCTGGCCTCGTCCTCGGGGGGCCCGTCCCCCGCCGGCAGCCCCCCGCAGCCCATGCAGTCCACCGCGGGCTTCCTGAACGCCTTACACGCCATGACGCCCAGCTACGAGAGCCCGTCCCCGCCCGCCTTCGGCAAGGCCCACCCGAACGCCTACGCGCTGCCCCCCACCTACCAGCCGCCCCTCAAAGGCTGCGGCGTCGCCCCCCCGCAGAAATACCCCCCGACGCCGGCGCCCGAGTACGAGCCCCACGTCCTCCCGGCCAACGGGGCGGCCTACGGGACGCCCGCCATGCAGGGCAGCCCGGGCTACGTGGGCGGGGGCGGCTACGTGGATCCGCTGCCGCCCCCTGCCGGCCCCTCCCTCTACGGCCTCAACCACCTCTCCCACCACCCCTCGGGGAGCCTGGACTACAACGGGGCGCCCCCGATGGCCCCCAGCCAGCACCACGGACCCTGCGACCCCCACCCCACCTACACAGACCTCTCCTCTCACCATGCGCCTCCTCCTCCTCCTCCTCCTCAGGGTAGAATCCAAGAAGCGCCCAAGTTAACGCACCTGTGATGGGAGAGGGAGGGCGGAGGGAGGAGGTAAAGGGGTGGGGGCGGGGGAGAGCCTGGAGGTCTGAAGGAAGAGGCAGGGACTTGGCCACCAGGCTTCCTGGGAAGGATGGGCCTGGAGTCCCTTCCCTCCGTGGCCTGGGAGGTTGCTTTTCAAAGATCCTCCAGCCCTTGTGCCATCTGTCTGCCTGCCCGCCGAAAAGGGGCCCACAGCAGGTTGGAGATGACAGCCTACCCCCACCCCCACCCCCCACCCCGCAATCAACCCTAGGCCTCTGGCAATATGCAGTTGGCATTCCAGGCTTGGGAGTGGGCTAGAGGGAGGAGACAGGGCAACAAGGTAGAGAAGCACATTTTAAAAACACAGACAAGATGGCAAGGCCATCACTAACCAACCAACCAACTTACCGTCAGTCTCTGTGGGTACTTCCCCCAAATCTTGATTGTTTTCCCACCTTGCAATTCTCCTTTAAAAAGAATTAGGAAACGTTTCAAAACCAGGGGCACCAAGCACCACCCCCTCCCACCTCCCCGAAGTCTCCACTGTCCTCCCGTCTCTCGGAGTTAATTGGGCACTCCCTTGTAGCACCATATTTTTCTGCTCCAGGACATTAATATCTCTACCCCGACCCCATCAATTACAGTTTCCAGAGGGCTCAGGGATGGCGAGAGATCTTGAAAGTCAAAGCTGTCTATATTATAAATATCTATATTTTTTTCTTTTATGGAAAAGCTGGGAGGTTGAGGGCAGGCAAAGTGTCAGGACGGAGGGTTTGCCCATTCTACTGCCTCCCGCCCATCTCAGCTCCAGGTCCATCCCCCTCCTCCCACAGAAAGCAATCGGAGACACGAGGTTCTTCTACACTTTTTTCTTCCGTTGCTCTCTTGACTTAACGTGAAAACAGGGTATATTTTAACAAACTGTCTGTCCCAGGCAGGGCTGCAGCTGGGCCCGTGTGCCTTGCTCAACCCCCTGACAGGACACTTTCGTTGCACTTAGAGTTTACATTTTAATGGATATAAAAACAACTGTGAGAGGTGCCTGGGCCTGCAGGAGTCCAGCGTCGCTCAAAAAGTGTGTGTTCTAGTGAACATTTTCATATATATTTATTGGTCATAGCCTGTTAAAATATTTTCTTTTTTTTGTATTATTTATCCCCGTACATTATGTATTTATATGAGGGAAAAAGGAAAAAAAACTGTTTTTTTTTTAGTATTACTTGTTATAAAGGACGTGTTTCCTGTCATGTAAAACCAGCTATTTTAGTTATGATTGTACTCTAGGAAAGAGCTGTAGATTTATGTTAAACTCGTATTTAGGAGCAATTGTAATTAGTTCTAAAAGGCATGAACTCAGCTCCTAATTGTCACTGTATAGTCCTGAATTTGTAGAATTAGAGTTAATTCCCTCTTGGAACTTCCTTTGTTCTTCCGTAGTTACTTTTTTTCCTTACTTAAAAGGGTTGTCTGTCAAACAATTCTTGAATAAACTTTCTGTTATCAATTTTATCTTGTCCTGGTGGTCCAATTTAGATAGCGGACGGAGGGAGGCCCTGACTGCCAAATTTCCCCCAAGGGGATGGGACACCGGAGACCGTCTCCTGGCCCTTTTGTCCCCTGCTCAGGCGCCTGCCTCCCCTGGCTGTGTCTCATGTTTATGTAGCTTTTCTCAGAGGGGCCTGGGCCATCCTGCCAACTCCTGGAGCTAAGACTGATGAAACAAGGTGGGAGGAAGGAGGACTCTTGGGTGCTTTCTCTAGGTCTTTCTGTTTGGCTTCTTTGCCTCTCCATTTTTCTCCCTCATTGACCATTTTTTGTCTTTTTGATCCTTTGGCTACAACTTCCTTACCCAGCCCCCTCACCCCAACAACAACAACAACAACAACAACAACAACACCAACACCCCCGCAGATTGCTGCTCCTTCCCAGCCACCTAAACCTCACAGTCCTCTTCCGGAGCTACAAAGAAGCCGTCACGTGACCCGCAGCCCAACCACCATTGGGTCTAAAATGAAAACAAAGGAAAATGATTAATCTAAAAAAAAAAAAAAAATCTGAGGCCTGGACTTCTAAGGTCAAATCTTAAAACTAAAGTGAAATTAAATTACTAAATAAAAACGGGGGGGGGGGCGGTGGAGGAGGCGCCTTGATTTCCCCAGCCAGGCAGGAGAGGAGGAGGGCGGGAGACGCTGCTGGATCTCAGCGTCAATAAAATAGTCCCCGGGCTACTGGGCGGCTGTTGCCACGATCCTCGGGAAAACGTCATTTCTTAGTCGTGGTTCCATAAAAGTTTTATCACGTTTGGAGCGAGGCTAGAGAGGCTCTGTCAAAGATGAAATGTCACCGCTGCGTCGCTGGAGTCGATAAGAGCGAGGGAGACAGGGCGGCTGAAATATGGAGCTAATTCGCTGAAAGGGAAGCGATGGCTGCTCGCTGAAGAGTTGCATAATTCTAATTGTAAGCGATGCGCAGGCATTGCTTAATTAGGAGCATATATTTGGTGGAAGGGATTGGGGGTGGGGGTTGGGTTGTCGGTGAGAATCCTTGCAGGCCCTCCGCCTTAAAGAGAGGGCTGATTTTCATTTTTATGTTGCATCCTGGCAGTCCAAGGTTAGTAATTACAGTCTTTATGCAACAATAAATAACAATATATATATATAAAAAAAGCAACCTGAGTGCTACTCCCCCACCCCCACCCCAGTGGGATTTTAACTGGACTCGGCTCATCCAAGCAGCAAGCAATTTAGCATCGGGTCAGGCTATAATTTAAAGGCACAAGAGCGTGCAAAGTTTGATTGGGATCAAATAACGCTCAAGGGTTTTTTTTCTTTCTCCCTTTTCCTCTTCCCCAATAACATTTTCTGAATGATGTAACTGGATGAAGCGCCATGTTTGGCTCTGGGGGGTGAGGCGGGCTGATTAGTTAGCAGGAGAGAGAGGTAGGCCAAGAGCCAGGATGGAGCTTGAGTTTGAAAACCAGAGCTTTGGCTTCAAGCTGGTTGGCAAACAAGAGCAATAAGGCGGGCTTAGCTTGGTGTCCCCCACCCTTTTCTTCTCTTTTTTTTTTTTCCTTGAGAGATTCCAGCGCTAGCTCAGCAGCCAAAGTCCTGGCGCAAATATCTTGTGCTGTAAGATCCACAGCACAACAGGGGGCGGGGGAAGGAGGGCTCTCTTGGCCCCTTTTAACACCCAAGTTCTCTGCTGTTCTCTAATCTGGCAGTAAAACCTGTCAGCGGGGTTAGGCGCAGCCGTATTTCCTGCAGGGACAGGCAGAAGCCCTGGACCCTGCAGCCAGCGCCAGAGCCCGGGAACCCCCTTCCAGGGCTTCTCCAGGGGCCGGCTCTCAGGCCTCACTGCACAACTTGCACTCAGCCTCTGCTACTCGGGTTGTTCTGTGCACCCCCGCCCCCCTCCCCGCGCCCCATCCACGCCTCCAATGGGTAAATGGTGCTTTCTGTGGAGCTGAGCTGGACATAGCCGTCCCTGGCCAGCTTGTCCAGGTCACAGCAGTTCTCGGAGCCCTCCAGAGCTTGCCAGACCGGCCACCCCTGTCCCCGCAGCTCCCACCTCCAGCGGGCCCCAACCTCCAGCCCCAACCCTCGATGCAGACAGCTCAGCCTTTTTAAAATACTCACCACCGCCCACGCGGATGAATACTCACCGCCACCCACGCGGCCGTTTGCATTGACAGAAAGTTTCCAGTTCCAGCTCCCGGCTGAGTTGCCATGTCTCTGCTAAGCAGCCTTTCTCCTCCTGGCTGGGCAGCTGGGAGCCGGGAGGGGGAGGGGAGGCCGGAGCCGTGGGAGTTCTCCAGACAAACTTTCCACCCAACTCAGCGCCCCGACCCTCTGTCCCCATTTCCCATCTGTTTCCCCCTCTCCCGGCATCACCTTTCTCTTGTGCTGCCACCACCCACCCCCGGGCCTTTTAAAGGGATGGGGAATTTCGGCTGCTCCCTCTGCCTTCCCAAAGAGCCAAATTCTTTGATGCCATCCGAGGGAGCTGTCAGGGGGCTAAGATTGATCGCCTCATCTCCTCTCCTGTCCCTCTGACCCACTTATTTAAAAACCTTCCCCCAGATTGACTTTTCATTTTCTGCTTGGAGATCTGGTTTACCCACCAATTGCTTGGAACCCTAAGTCTTGGGCCTCCTCCCTGCAGTAAATTGCAGCACGCCCTCAAGTTCCCACTATCTGGATACCTTTAAAATAAATTAAAAAAACAAAACAACAACAAAAACAACACAAAAATTTCCTCTGGGGCCAGGAAAGGAATATCATCTCAGTGGTCATTATTTCCACCCCCTCCATGTTCAGGGAATTCTTTCTTGACAGTGATTCTTTTTTTTTGAAACTAGCACAATGATAAAAATAGGAGGAGGCATCTCTTTATCCTAGGGGGAAAAATCCACCCCCCACCCCAACTTTGAGATGCTCTGAGTTAAATAAATGGGTGGCCACCTTGGTTCTTGTTCATGTTCCTGGGTGTAGATACAGATGCAGACACAGGCTTGAGGTTTGAGCGGTGCTATGCATTTTAGACGCCCCCACCCCCCTGCCCTTGAGGGGGCGTGTCCTGGAGGATTGTAGCTGCCTCCAGGTAAGGAAGGCAGGTGAGGCGGGTGGACACAGGGGCAGCGGCAGGCAGCGCTGCAAACACTGGGCAGAAGGGGAAGTGAGACCACACAGCTCTGGAGGCCAGAGGCGCCATCTATTCCACTCCCCTGTGTCAGCCTGGGAGTGCCTGTCGATTTCCCAGGATTTATCTGTTGCTTTTGGACGGCGGGATGGGGCTAGTGGTGCTGATGACTGTAAATCTCTCCTCTTCCTTATGGCACCTGAACACCCACTTTCCCCAAAGGCTGGCGGGGAAGCCCTTTCTCCTGCCTCTTCCTGCCACAGTGAGATCCTCGCTCTGCCTCCTTTTGGGGGAGGGGGAAGATGTGCTGGCCATGGACAGAAAGCAATGAGCTCTATTAAAATATTTCGAAAAGAGGGAAATCTCTCCCTTAGATACTCTTGTTTTCCAGGCTTCTGGAGGATTTTGATCCTCTGAAGGGGATGAGGGAAATGTCTCTCTCTCTCTCTCTCTCTCTCTCTCTCTCTCTCTCTCCCTCTCTCTCTCTCTCTTTCAAGAAAGGGAGGCATTGGGGAGAGGGAGTGAAGGACTGGGGGGCTCATGGTGTCCAGGTCGGGGGTCCTCTAGAGTTTTTGAATCAATTAAAGCAAATAATGCTCTCTGTTTTCCACCAGGCCCAGACCAGCGATTGGCCGAGTCTGGTCCCGTGACCACGAATTCCCTGCAATTTCGCCAGAGTCCTGGGTTTAATAGAGAGAGTCCCCATACGCTAGTATTTATCGGCAATATACAATTATAAAGGCCCAAAATTAAAAAAAAAGAAAAGAAAAAAAGAGAGAGACAGCAAAATCCCTCCCTCCCAAAATCGCTCCATCACATAAACCTGGGGGGCGGGCAGGAGGGGGGGTCCCTTCCGATCCTCCCTCCTGACGCCCCCCCCCAGCAGGCCCCCTCCCCCACCACGGAAAGCCATGAATTTTGAATTTGAGAGGGAGATTGGGTTTATAAACAGCCAGCCATCGCTCGCCGAGTGTCTGACTTCCTTCCCCGCTGTCTTGGAGACATTTCAAACTTCATCAATCAAGGAGTCGACATTAATTCCTACTCCTCCTCCTTGCGAGCAAACCTTCCCCAGCCTCCAGCTCGGCGCCTCCACCCTTCAGAGACCCGGGAGCCAAAAGCCAGCCGGAGATGGGCCCGCTCCGCCGCCGCCGCCGCCGCTCCCCGCCGCCCCCCGGGCCCCCGAGTTTCCCTGGATGAGGGAGAAGAAATCCGCCAGGAAGCCCGGCCCCGCGGCCCCGTCTCCCCCGGCCGCCTCCTCGGCCCCAGCCTCCGGGGCCGGCTCGCCCACAGGTCAGTAGCGGGGGCGGCAGGGGTGGGTGAAGGGCGGCTGGGAGACGGGGGGAGAAAGCGATGGGGGAGGCAGGGAAGGTGGCGAGCCCGGTGGGGCTCCTTGCCCCGTTGATTTCAGCGACGACGCGGCAGAACAGACCGCTGGGGCTCAGGCCCGGCCGCTGCCGGATTTCTCCCCCCACCCCCACCCCCACCCCGCTTCCCCCCGCAGATTTTGGGCGCTGGCTGGGGAAGAGCCTTTTCTCTGCTACAAGGGAATTCGATTGCCCTTCATTGCGAGGAGGCGGGGGACTGTTGTTGGGGCTGGATGTGAGGACAGGAAGAGATTCGGTCCCATTTCCCCCAGCTCCAGGGAGAATCGGGGAGCCAGGGAGGAAAGGAGACGAGGAACCATCTTTCCTTTATACACGCCCTCCCCGGGTGGAGTCCGAATGAAGGGGTCCCCTCGGAGGACCTGGGGGAGAGGCTCTGAGGTTCCGGGGGGCGGGGGGCGGGCAAAGGGGAGCCGGCTCTACCCCCGGCCTGGCCCGTGGGCGGCTCTCTCAATGCTTCGCCCTGACCCGGGCCGGCTGTGCGGGCGAGAGGGACGGGAGAGGAGGGAGAGCGGGGGAGGAGGGAGAGCCGGGAGAGGAGGGAGAGCCGGGAGAGCGAGCCGCTCCGGTGGGCGGGAAGGAAAAGGGCGCAGCTGCTGCCGTTCTTTGGCGGCGGATGGGAGAGTCTTTTATTGCAGCCGAGCTGAGGCTGGGAGGAGGAGGATGCGGCCGCTCTGAGCTGAGGCCGGGAGGAGGAGGATGCGGGCCGCTCTGAGCTGAGGTCGGGAGGAGGAGGAAGAGGAGGATGCGGGCCGCTCTGAGCTGAGGCCGGGAGGAGGAGAAGGCTGCGGGCCGCTCTGACGCTCCGTCCCTCTCCCCGCAGACGGCCCTGGGCTGGCGGAGGCGGCGGGCGGCGGGGCTCGCAGGCTGCGCACCGCCTACACCAACACGCAGCTGCTGGAGCTGGAGAAGGAGTTCCACTTCAACAAGTACCTGTGCCGGCCGCGCCGCGTGGAGATCGCGGCCCTGCTGGACCTCACCGAGCGGCAGGTCAAGGTGTGGTTCCAGAACCGCCGCATGAAGCACAAGCGGCAGACGCAGCACCGGGAGCCGCCCGACGGGGAGCCGGCCGGCCCGGGCGCCCTGGAGGACACCGGCGAGCCCGCCCTGGAGCCCGCGGCCAGCCCCGGCCGCCTCTCCGCCCCGCAGGAAGCCTGCTCGCACCCGTCCGAGGCCGCTCCGTGCCCCCCGGCGCCTGTGGTCTCCGGCCCCGACGGCGCGGGGACGCCGAGCCCCGGCTGCGCCCCGCGCGGGCCCCGCGGGCTGGACCCGGAGCTGCTGCCCGAGGAGGCCTTCCCGGAGCGGCAGGACTCGCCGTTCCTGCCCGACCTCAACTTCTTCGCGGCCGACTCCTGCCTCCCGCTGTCCGGAGGCCTCTCCCCCGGCCCGCAGGGCTCGCTCCACAGCCCGGTTCCCTTCTCCGAGGAGGACCTGGACTTCTTTACCAGCACCCTCTGTGCCATCGATCTGCAGTTCCCCTGACCCCCCTCCTCCTCCCGGCCTCTCTGCACCCCCTCCCCGCCTCCCTCGACCCCCGACCCCCAAGTGGTTCAGACTTCTCGATGTATTTTGCTAAAATTCAGGTATTATTGAATTAGCGTCTCATCCACTTCCTTTCTTCTCTCTAAAATATGGGATACTTGGGTGTCTTTTTGAAACCACAGAAACATTCCGTTCGGTAGACTCCTTCCAACGAAATCTCAGGAATAATCACACTGTAGGGGAGATTTGAAGGGGATGGGGGACTTTTCTTTAAAAAAGAACTAGAGGAGCCTATTTTCCACTTTTTTTTAAGTTTTAGACCGTAGATTATTTATTAAAACTTTAATAATAGGAAGAGGGGAGAGTATTTATTGTACATTATTTTCATAGATTAAATAAATGTCTTTATTATACGAAAACGAGTGTTTGTGTTGGGACCCAGCCCCTCCCCCCCAAGCCCTCGGTTCTCCCCGGGCTCGGTCTGCTCCTGGGCTGGCTCGGTCCGGTCCGGGTGGTACAAAAACAGCCCCCCCTGGGCCACCGCTGGAAGCTGGGTCACCTCGCCACCGCCCCACCGATGGCCTTGGCCCCCGCGCCCGTGTCCAGGGCCCCCCGCTTAGGAAGGTGGGGTGCGGGGAGAGGAGGCCGCGGACCCGCGGTGGGAGCCCGGGCCCAGGCCTCAGGGATGGAATGGAAACGGGGGGCGGGGGGTCCCCGAGGCCTCCCGGCTCTAAGCTGCCGCGCTCCTAACGGTTTCCCCGGCGCGCAGGACGCCTGGGGGCTCGGCGCGGCGGAGGGAGTGGGCGTCGGGCGTTTCTCGGGAAGCAGACCCGGGCCCGGGCCCGGGAGGATAAAGGGCCTCACGTGGGCGGGAAGGAGCCGCGGAGGCAGGAGCGCGGCCGGCACCGATGCTCTGCGCCCCGCAGTGGCTCCGGGGCCAGGTGAGCGTCCGCGGGGCGCCGGGCGACCACCCCCGGAGCCCGGGCCGCTCGGCAGGCGCTGGGCCTGCGGGGAGGGAGGGGAGAGCGAGGGGCGCGGGAGGGAGACGGGGAAGCAGGGAAGATGCTCAAAATGGCGCTGGGCCGGGCGGCGGGGAGGCGAGGGCAGAGGCGCCATGACGCTGCTCTGGGGCGCGCGGGTCCCGCCGGGGGGCCCGCCCCGCACCCTCTTTCTCCTTTCTGGGTCGTTCAGTGCAGAAAGGGAGCCAGCGAGTCTCCTTCCAGCTTTTGCTTTATTTTATTTTTAAATGAGCCCAATGGATGCCGAGGACGCGAGATGGAAGGAGGGTCCGCGCGGGGATGGAGGCGGAGGGGAGGGCGCGCGGGCCCTGCAGGCCCCAGTCGGTCTGCCGGGGCGGCTCGGGCTTGGGATGCTTCGCTCTGGGAGTGGAGCCTGCCCAGCGCTTTCTCCAAATGCAGACCCACCTGTCTCTGCCAACAACTTCATTTGCCATCTCCACACCCTCTCCGATCCCCCACCTCCCAGGCCTGGCCGCTTGCAAAGCCCGTGAGCGGGAAGCCAGGATCGATCTTCCCCATTTGCCTTCTTTCTTCCGGGGGACGCGGAGATTTAGAGGGCCCTGGGAAGCCATCCATCCTCCTCAGGTTTATTTAATATTTCTCAGGCCCAGAAACAGACACCGCAGGGCTGCCTCCCTGGCAGATGCTGCCAGGATCTAAAATCAGCTTATTTCTTGGGCCCCCCAGACATTCTTCTGGACCAGCAGGCCGAGGACTTGGAGTCCCGGGCACCAACAGGCACAACTGTCAGGAGAAGCCAGAAGCCAGCATAGGTCATGACATAGAGACAGGCCTCTGAATTGTATTTTTTTTTAACTGGACCCTCCACGTGGGAAGTACACACATCTTATTCAGCTGAAATTTAATCCCTTAAACTGTCTTAATATAGAATTCACCTTCTGCACTAAATAATCTTATGTCATGTTAAATGGCACGCATTTCTTTCACAAATAAATTAATATAGAACAATTAGACGCGTTCTAACAACATCGTGTGTCTTATTAGTTTATTTTTCCTCGTAAAATATATAGGTATGAAATAAATTCAATATATTAAAGTAATAATGCACAGCTTATATTGGCTTGTGTGTTAATTCCCCTCATAAATAAGTGAGTGTACAATATATTAAAACCACACTCTATATTTTATTGGGCTATATGTTTATTTCCCTACAAAATATGCCCATAGGCAGTGCTTAGCGTCTTAAAAGCCACAGCACACAGCCATTTCCACGCTAGCAAAATGAAGCAGACGTTTCAGCTGGGGCTTTGATTTCTATGCACAGCCAAACGGGATAATTTGGTCTAATTAAAAATGCCCTTTCAGCTATAACAGGTTGCTCCAAAGATCAAGAATACCAGAAGGATCTTGCTAATTGGCCACCTTCCAGCTTCCTTTGGTCAAAAAGAGAGCACCCTTCATCAATGCCAGGAGGGCAGGATCTGCTCTGCTGGAGAGAATTCACATCTTGGGACCAGGGCTCCGTGTGCAGCACTCAGGGGCCTCTGAGGCTCTGGTTCTGTCAGAGCCTTGCTGCTCTGCGGCCCAGCGGCACCAGCACCACCCGGGAGCTACTTAGAAATGCAGAATCTTAGGCCCCGCCCAAAGAGAATAAAAAACTCCATGTAGCAGGCCCCCAAGTAACTCACAGGCACGTTAAAGTTTGAGAAGTACAGCTAGATCGCAGTGCTACCTTGCTCCCTGCCTTCCTCACATGCTTAAGAATATTTGACCCACTTTCCCTGGCTATTGCCTTTCAAGCTCCTCCCCGCCCCCCTCCCCTCCCCATCTCAGTGCCTGCCTGAGGCTGCATTAGACCGGATTTCTTCTGCCCAAGTGAGTGTGGGGCCGGGAGGGGCCAGCCAAAGGCTCCATCTACCAGTCTAGTTCTAGGCATTGGGGGCGAGAAGCAGTCAATCCAAGGAGATTGGGAGTTTTACATTTCCCTTGGCTGATTATTAGAGAGCATTTGGAACTCTTTTTACAGGCAACACACACACCTCTCTCTCTCTCCTTATACTCACAAACTCCCCATTTCTGATGCTACCACAGCGGAACAAAGAGGCAATGCATTTTCAGAAGGAAATGACTCCTGCTTTCAATCTCCCCACCCAAATTACAATTCAAAGGAATGCCTGGCAATTTGGGATTCACAAAGAATTGGGACTCAAGACACCTGTGTTCCAACTTAGCTCTTTTTCTTGTCTCATCTCTGGGGTCATCCTCTATAGTCTGATTTTCCTGGTTGGCTATGGAGATGGAAGAAGAGGAGGGGTTCCCAGATAAGGCAGTGGACTCCCCAGTGATGACAGGGTGAAGGACAGGGGCAGTGCCAAGTGGCTGTACTCACCTCATCCTGGTTAGGCCAGGACCCAATGTGAGTGGTCTTGGAGCACAAACTGGACATACGTTGAGTGTGGTTGGAATGGGAATATTTCAGTGCCATCCCAAAAGCTGCTTGTCAGTCTGCCCTGCTTTTGATGAGTCATTCTTTTAAGAAGAATGGCTCATTAATATTATAGTGAAAGCCAAGGGCCATTAGACTGAGGAATTTATTTGCAATCACGATAACCCTGAGTCATTTAAAAAAATGTAACTTATGCCTGGACAAGTCCCTTCTAGACCTCAGTTTCTCTATCTGTAAACTAAATGGAAGAACTAAATGCCTCTAATGTCCTGCACATGATGTGCCAAAAGTATATTCGTTAGTCTTCACAAACAATACATTCAATATTTCTTGTAGCTGGTGCCGTGTGCTTTTAAATGGAGGTGCTGACAATTGCCCACCTCCCAAGTATCCAGGAGAGCCATTTTAACAAATTTTAATTTGTATCTTTACACCAAAGTTGTGCCCATAGTCATTATTTAAATGTGTAAGGAGAGAACTCTTTTCAACAGGCATGTAATTGGATGCAGTGCTGTGTGCCAGATGCCAGGCAGTCAATAAGTATGAATATTAAGAAGTGTCCTGGCCATGTTTTCCGCTGGCTTTCCCCACTGCCCCCTTCCCAGCATTTGGTTATGCTTCCCCTTGTTTGAAAAAGAGCAGGATGTTTTATGCAACAAGAGGCAGGCATCACGCTTCTTCTTTGACATGGTGGACTCAAAAGGCCCCCTCCTCAGATTTTATCTGCTTGCTGGAGCACTAGAGCATTGGTACAAATTCTGGATCTCCCTAAATAGCCCTGCGGAACTGTCCTGCCCCCCTGTCCCCCAAGTCTCTGACAAGCACTCAGGGGTCCCTCGTGCAGCTTCTTGAAATGGGCTCTAGTCAAATACCTTTCCTCAGTTTGCAGAAAGTAGGGCCCCGTGTCCTCTCCTCTTTACCTGCTCCCACCCTCATCTATTTCCTCTGTAATCTCACCTCTTTCTCCCTCAGCCTGCTCAGCCACTCCAGCCTCACTTGCCTCCTCTCTCATCTACAAACAGCCAAGGACATTAGTGCTGCAGGGCCTTAAACTGACTGAGCCCTGTGGCTGGAGAGTTCTTCCCAGGAAATGCACACACTCCTTTCCACCTAGAAGTCTTTGCTCCAATATTGGCAAGGCTCCAACCCCCCAATGACCTCTCCAGCTCAGCTCTGTTCTTCTGTCCCCCACTGGGCATCCTCTCTCCAATGGTGAGGCAGATATTTAGTGCCTGAAGGACATCCAACAAACTGCTTCCTCCTCTAAGGAAGAGTCAACAGTGAAAGAATCCTCCTAAAACCTTCTCTGACCACCACAGAAAAGATCACAGCCTGGACAGTCATTCAGATACAAATTCAGCTTGATCAGAACTTGGGGAGGTTTCCAACGTGGGTATTTTGGCCACAACCACCGCAAACCAGTAGGAAATTAGGTCAGTTCTTCCTGTCGCTAGAATCTTTCCTTTTAGAATGATCCCAACTCTCTGACTCACATTTGGACCCAGATGAAAGTTGACATCCTGCTGATCTATCTAGATTCTAGAAGTGAGGTCTAACCTCCCAGGAGGACAGTTTCTGATGAATCCCTCCAGGAAGAGAGACAATGTCCTCCTTAGAAAACTTTTTCCAAATATGAGATCAGGAAGGTCTTGTTAATATCCAACTTCAAACCTTTCTTCTGCATTTTAATGATTTGGGTTCTTTTAGATTATATAATATTCGGTTTCAATTATCAGAATACTCTTCAGCTTAGAAGAAAAAAAAAATCCTGTCTAAATAGAGCCAACTATCGCAATTCTCAGTGAAATTTGCATATGATAAAGTTCATATTGTATAATATATGATATGTTACATGAAAATACAGTACATGTGCTATTTTCCTATCACATATTTCCATATTTTAATATGCTAGTTTTATTAAAAAACAGAAGACTGACTCACACTATTTCAGAATGTGCATGTAATGTTAATATCATACCTGTATAGAGTTCTCTATGGTTTATATTTTCTTATTTACTTTAATATTACTAACAATGCAGTGAAATAAGTACTATTAAACCCATTCTTCTTCTTTGAGGCTGAGACTCAGAAACCAGGAAACTTGTCCAGGGTCATAATGTTTAGAACTGGTCAAGCAAGAATTTGAACCCAAGTATTCTGGCCCCCAAACTGGTAGTGTTTGAATTACAATATGCACCACTTATAGTCTCTGGTTCTTAACCAGATGTGTGACAATGTAATTAGCTTGCATTAAAACAAATACCACTGAGTTTAAAACCATTCTGCCCACAAACAGGAGAAATAATGATAGAGAAAAAGTTATAACCTTGAATATCTTTTTAATTCTTTAAGTTCCAAGCTTTGATGTTGGGCTTGGCCTTCAAGATCCGGGCTGAGGAGAGCAGGCAGAGAGACACTAAAATACCTAAGGAAAGAACTGTACAAATTGCTCCTGCCAATCCCCAGCTAAAACAGCTTCCTCCACAGAAAAGGCCAGAATCAAGTGTAAACTTCTGATTAGAATTGTGTCCATGTCTGCATGCTCATGTGCTAAGGACTAGCACCTCTCAAACATAATTTTCTAAGCATTCCTATGTTCTCCTTACTCTCCTATATGTCATATCTAAGTATATGATATAAATGAGGAAATCAACTTCATTTCACTTGGGTGTTGGGACCATCATACCTTCTCTGGTGAAGTTCATTTGGCCAACCAGAAAACCCTATAGCCCATAGATTACCCCAGATGTGGATTCCTTGTCCTTGTTTGTTTTGTTTTGCACTCAGCTGTGGGATTAGTAGGGAGTCCAGGCTCCACAGACTTTCTCCTCAGGTCAGATGGTGAATCCTCTCTCTAGGAGGAAGAGACTTGGGAATCTAGGGAGCCAAGTTGATTTTTCTCCAAATTCTTTCTGCTAGAGCTGGGAAAACCAGCAGGAACTTTGGGAAAAGTCTTAAATTTTTCTGCTAAGCAAGAGAGGGAAGCAAGACGCAGGGATGAAGTGGAGATGATGGTGACTTTGAAGAGCTGAGGGTAAAGCATTCACTGACAGTATGACTTGAGGCCCTTTTGCCCCACCCCCTTTTCTTTTTGTCATTAATAATGGACTGCTGGTGACTTCAGCTGCTATCCCGGAGACTGCATTTCCCTAGCTCCCATACAGATTTCTGCTGTTTTATTAAACTCATTTGGAATCTACTTCTTCCTTAAGACCTCAGATTGTTCCCATCATTAAGAGGGCAAGGAATGAGGCTCGTAGGTTCTCTCTGGGTTGAGGGAAAGGTGGAAAGAGAAGGCTCAGGTCTCTCAGAGGCAGGGCAGCCAGGCCTAGTTCAGATTTAGGCCTAACTCAAATATAGGCCTAGCTCAGATTTGGGGTTAAAAGAGAAACCTTAGTTTCCTATACCCTTCTTCCTCTAAGGCCACTGTGGAGAACATCTTAAAGTCAGAGGAAAAAGCTGGGAACATCTACAAACCCCAAAAGTTTCTGGGAAATAGAAAGAAATATGCTTACCCTCACCTCAACACCCTTTTCTCTCCAATCTCTCTGCAGGCCCCCCCCCCCCCCCCCCCCCCCCCCCCCCCCCCCCCCCCCCCGCCTCCCATCTCAGTGCTCCTTTCCTTTGTCTGCCCTCCTCCCTTTGGCAGTGAACATTATCTCACCCTCCCCTATTGTATCTCTCTTAAAGGAGCAACCAGCTGTCCTCCTCCCCCAACTTGCCCTGGTCCCAAGCAGGGGTCCAAAGTAACACGTGAGGAGGGAAAGGGGCAAGGTCCTGTGAAATGCTTTAAGGTCTTTCTTGGTTGGGGGCTAAGCAAGGCACAATTATTAAGAGAAGAGAAAGGCGGTGTGACTCTGGGGATCAACATAGAAAGCTGGAGAGGAAAGGCAAAATGATGGAGAATGGGAAACAGAAACATGGAGAGACACAGAGACTGAGAGACAACGTTGGGGTTTGCTGCAGGGTGAGGAGTACGCCCCCTGCCCTTTTTGCGGGCGGGAAACCTGAGTAGTTTGGCAGTCTCTCTCCGGACCTGTCCCACCTGCTTCTCTTCCTTCCCTGAGCTCAGTTGTTTACAAAGATCCCTGCCTGAACTCTTGCCCTCCTGGACTTGCCCTAGCACCAGCCCCGGCCTCCAGCCAGGCAGACACCCTGACAGGTTACAAATGAGCGTGGGTGTTGGATTGCACCACGCTCTTGTCCTCAGAGTCTGGAGGAGGAGAATCAATGGGCTCTACCTAAGAGCTTCTCTGCCAGGCCCAGCCCAGTCTGAGGAGAGTAAAAGAGGCACTTCCTGTCCTCTCTCTCCCCCCCCCCCCCCATTCCTGACCCAACAGTCAAACCAGAGCAGAAAGGGGTGAGAGTCCCCTCCTGAGCCTCCGGACCTCCACCCCGACTCTCCCATTTTCTGAGCAAACTCCCTTGAGCTAGTCTAGAAAATTCATTGAAAATTTGAGTAATCTGGAAGATGTATTTGGTACAGAGCTTATGGATTTGAGGCTTGGGATTCTTTGGGGAGGTGGGGAAAGGAAATGGAGGGTGGTGAAGGGGACAGGGCTAGGAGGGAACTAAATAATTCAGGACGCACACTAGTTTTCAACGCCTCAGAAAAAAAAGAATAAAATTTCCCTCCTCTTCACCTGTAAACATCACCCAGCTCGGAGCTCATGACTCTCTGGAGGGATCCAGGGAGTTATCTGAGTTTGAGCAAGCGAGCCAGCTACAGCTATGGATGGCTAGAGAGAGGATAAATACATCTTGAGAGATGAGTTGATGGATCGGTAGGGAGCAAATATAAATATGGAGAGAGATGGACGAACGGAGAGATGGATTGAGACAGAGGGAATATAAAGAGAGGCTGAGGGAGAAAAATGGATGTGGGAATGAGGAGAGAGCATTTAGGAGGAGAGATGGAGAGAGAAATGGGGGCATTTCTCATTCTCCATCTGCATTGCTGCCCTGTTTCTCTCCCTGAAATGCCAGCTTCCCACCCTTCCTATAATGAATTCAACATCTAGATTCTAGACCCCGCCTCACACCCCGAGGTGTTTTTGCACCCTTTTCCTTCACAGTCTCACAGCCACCCATTTGGCCCAAGATAACATACCTCCCCCGGCTGTCCCAGCCCACCACCCCTGAACAAACTGGGAGAAAGAAGCTGGGAGTGGGAGCCCTGGACCACGCAAGGAGGCTGGATTCCTTACCTCCCCTTGGGGGGAAGGCCCCCTTGGGGGGGTGGGAAGAGTGAGGGGCAGCTGGGTTGAATTTGCCCAAATCTAATAACCCAGGAGCCTATTGACGGTCTTGGGGGTTGGGAGGGGAGGAAAGTCTTCAATATTCCTCCAACTTTCCCCCCCTCTCCCTCTGGTCCCTTCTTTCCAAAAGTCTTTGAAGAAAGATGTTTTTGACGCTTCCACGTCGCTCTCAGATGGATGGGCTGCGGGTGATTGAAGTGTCTTTGTCATGCTAATGATTGGGGGGTGATGGATGGGCGCCGGGGCTGCCAAACTCTGGCCCACCGCGCCCATTGGCCTGGGAGAGATCACATGCGCCCCTCCACCCCCACTCTCTGCCCCCTTCCTGGGGGAGCGCCGGCCCAGGAGAGCCGGCCCGGGCCATGGACGCAGGCCTCCGCGCCGTGACATACTGCCGAAAGGTTGTAGGGCAAGAGGGTGTCTCCCCCGAACGGGCCGACCCTCCTGCGGCCGCCACGCATGGACTATAATAGGATGAACTCCTTCTTAGAGTACCCACTCTGTAACCGGGCACCCAGCGCCTACAGCGCCCACAGCGCCCCTACCTCCTTCCCCCCCAGCGCGGCTCCCGAGCTTGACAGCTACGCAGGCGAGACCCGCTATGGCGGGGGGCTGCCCAGCCCCGAGCTGCAGCAGAACCCAGGCTATCCCGTCCAGCAGCCGCCTCCCGCCCTGGGGGTGCCCTTCCCCAGCTCCGCGGCCTCGGGGTACCCCCCGGCCACTTGCAGCCCGGGCTACGGGCCTTCCCAGTATTACCCTCTGGGCCAAGCAGAAGGAGACGGAGGCTATTTCCATCCTTCCAGCTATGGGGCCCAGCTAGGGGGCTTGCCCCACGGCTATGGGGCTGGAGGCGCGGGCCCCGGGCCATACCCTCCGCCGCAGCCCCCGTACGGGCCGGACCAGAGAGGCGCCTTCGCCCCGGCCTATGCTGACCTCCTCTCCGAGGACAAGGAGTCGCCCTGCACGTCAGAGCCCAGCGCCCCCACAGCCCGGACGTTCGACTGGATGAAGGTGAAGAGGAACCCGCCCAAGACAGGTAGGGCTCAGGCGTGGCCACCCTCCCTCCGGGGCCCCAAAGCGGCTCCTGCACCGGGGTGCCCTGGGCCCAGGCTGGGCTCCGTGCTCCCAGACGCTCTGAGAGAGGCAGGTAAGAGCCCCCCCCCCCCGCCCCCCGCCGGTCTGAGGCCCGGTGGGGACCCCACTGAGTGAGTGCGGGTCTACCCTTCAGAGGAAGTCTCGCCTCACCCCCATCCGTGTGCCTCGCACAGCCCTGGACCTGGCGCGCCTAATGGGCCGGGTGGGGTGTAGTGGGGTAAGGTGGGGTGGGTGGGGGATGGAAGTGTGGGGCAGGTTGCTCTAGATTTGGGGAACACCTTGAGGGTGGGGTGTGCCTGGTGATGCCGGAGAACTTGGAGAGCAGAAGTTGGACAGAACGGTGGGGGTGGGGGGGTGCAGAGGGCCCAGGAGGAGGGGGCGAGGAGAGAGGTGAGATAACGGGCCTGCCCTCCTCCGCCCCGCCCCCAGCCAAGGCCTCGGAGCCGGGCCTGGGCGCGGCCGGCGGCCTCCGGACCAACTTCAGCACCAGGCAGCTCACCGAGCTGGAGAAGGAGTTCCACTTCAACAAGTACCTGAGCCGCGCCCGCCGCGTGGAGATCGCCGCCACCCTGGAGCTCAACGAGACGCAGGTCAAGATCTGGTTCCAGAACCGGCGCATGAAGCAGAAGAAGCGCGAGCGGGAAGGGGGCCGCCTGCCCCCGGCGCCCCCGGGCTGCTCCAGGGAGGCCGCGGGGGACGCCTCCGACCAGTCCGCCGGCACCTCCCCCGAGGCCTCGCCCAGCTCCGTCACCTCCTGAACCAAACCCCCACCCGACGGGGCCCCCGGCGCCGCCGTCCAGCCTCCGCCATCCCTCACCCGGGGACTGGGCTTTGCTCATGGGAGATTCTCACCCAGTTTGGAGCTGCCTTAGCGGGCAGCAGGGAAACCCTTTCCTCCGGGGCCGGGTGGGATGCTGATGGCTGGGGACCCCAGGCAACCAGAGGCGTGGGGACCCGCCCAGGTGGGTGGGAGCCAGCGGGAGCCCCTGAGCTCTGCTGGCCCTCACCACTTGCGTTTGCTCAGTTCAGTGCCTTTCAGCTGCGAGGACTGCCCTCTTGCACTCACCCCTGTCCTAGGCACCCCCTCCCCCCCTTCTAGGCCTGGGACAGAGAGAAGGCCTAGGAGTGTCTCGCGTGGGACGTGTTTGGGTGCGGGCCTATCACCAATGCTTCCTCTCTCCAGTCACCACAGCCCTGACAATAGCACCAGCTGCCTTGTGACAGACCAAAAAGCACCCCCCTCCCATCTAACCCTGTTACCCCCCGCCCCCACATTTGTATTGCACTAATGCAGCCTCCAGAGGTTGTTTCTGAGAGCTGACTCCTCTGCCCAGCGATCTCATCTCTGAGCCACCAAAGTGTTTGGGACTCGGTTCTGCGGAGACTGATGGAATGTTGGGCGAGGCCTGCCCCCAGCGAGGCTCCACCAGGAAGGCGCAGGCACGCCCACTAGCTCCTCCCCTATTTATTGCCTTCTGGAAACCCAGGACCCTCATCCCCATTTCCACCTCTGCCCCCCACTCTGAGGGGGGGGGGGGACCAGAGAGGCCCAGGTGCAGGGCAGCTCCTGGCAGCTGCACGCCTCTCTCTGAACCCCGGAGACAGTGGAGGCGCCACCCGCGTTTCCAGAAACCCGAGCCCCACGCAAGCTGGGCTCTCTCTGTACTTCCGACTACCTCATTGCAATAAAGTCTGTGTTTCCCCTTCTTCCTGGCTGCTTCTGCTCCTCCGCCTCGGGGTGGAGAAGGCTTTCTGCTCCCAGAATCCCAAGGAGCGGGGAAGGCGGGGTTGGCCAAGGCCGGCTGGGTGGGAAGAACGGGGTGGATCTAAAGCAGAGCCTGAGCCCCAGGTTCTGACAGATGTCAGTCCCCGGTCCCCGGAAGAAGCAGACAGACAGGGAGGGAAAGGCACGGGGAGAAAAGAGCTGGGAGAGAGTCCTGAGAGGAAGGCAGGGAAGGAGAGTTCTTTGGAGAAAACAGAAAAGGGTATAAACAGAGGAGGATGTGTGGGGGAGGCAAAGGCAATTCCCTCCTCCCCCACTCTTCTCCCTCCTCCTCTCCCCCCAAGGCAAGGCCTGGCATAGAGAGAGTGTCAGAGGATGGGTCGCCCCCCAACCCAGCTCTCCCACCCAGCCAGGACATCCGCCAGACCTGGGAAGTCAGAGAGGCTGGGACACCCAGCCACAGCGGGCCCACCTCCGAAGTGCCAACCGCCCAGCTCAGTGCCCTCCCTGCAGGGTTGAGGGTGAACTCTGGGGGTCTTGGGTGCCGGGCCACAGGAAGAAGGCGGCCTCAACAAGGGCGAGGGGGTGAGGGAGAAGGGGAAGGTGGCTCAGAGGGGGCAGGTTGGAGGACCAGGGCCTGGAGGTGGGCGGAGGAGGAGGCCGAGGCAGGTCCGAATCCGGAGCTGACCTTTTTACCTCCCAGCGCCTTTGGGCTTTCCAAACAAGCCAGCAGAGCCCCCGCGGGGACAGCCATTGTCTCCGGGGCGGTCCCACCAACAAACCCTTGGTCCGAGGGGGGTGGGGAGGTGTTGGGGGAGGGGAGGCCGGGGCTCAGGAAGCTCCGAGATGGTCCACAAACCTCCATGGCTCACTGGCCCCTCCGTGCCATTGAGGCGACCCGGGCCTGCGGGCTCCAGGCACCAGAGCCCCGCTTTATTGAATCCGGTTACCCAGGGAGCCCACATGCCCCCGAGCCAGGACAGCTGGTGGGGGCGGCAGTGGAGCCAGGGGCGTGTGTGGGGGCACTTATCCACCCCATCTATTTAATTTTTGACTATTCAAAGCAAGAGAGGCAGCGAGGAGAGCTAACCGCTAAGAGGACTAAGAGCATGTCTATTTGCTTCCTAATGAAATCGGTGCCATTATGGGAGAGGCACCGTTGGCGGGAATGGCACAGCCCAGCTGCAGAGGAAGAGAAGCGTGTGGCGAGAGGAAGTCTGGCTTTCCCAGGGGCTCCCGTCTCATCCTCCGTCTTCAAAATAAAAAACCCATTAACTGCTTTTCTGTATTTAATGGAAATTGCCATCAAGACTGGCTTCCCCACGGGGGTCACCTTGACGGAGGGGACAGAGCAAGGGCCTGTGGAAACAAGACTCCCTCTGCCTGGAGCCGGCCAGGGTAAGCCAGTAGAGCCTTCTGGTTGGCATAATTGTGGATCCTACAACTTCGGATCAGTGGGCAGGAAAGCAGGGAGGAGCAGTGGTTAGAGCAGGCCCCCAAGGATGGTGGGTCTGGGCCTCAGGCTGGTCCTGGGGGAGGGTGACATGGTGGAAGGGACAGGAGGAAAGGGATGTTGGGTCAGAGCACAGGGAACCACCAGGTTCCCCCAGGGAAGGGTGAGGGTGCGAATCAATTCTCTGTTAACAGAGGCGCAGACTCGAAATAATCCCCAATAGATATGAGCCGCCTACCTCCTTAGAGGCAACGCTACCGCCCCCACCCCACTTTGCTCGCTCCTAAAACCCCACTTTGAATGTAAGGCCCCAGATGGATTGACACAGGAGGCGTTTATTTGGAGAAAGAAGAGATCACTGTATTTCGCCAGCATAAAGGACAAAGGAGAAAACGGCCAAACAAATAAACAAAAACACATTTGCTGCCGTTGGGTTAAGTTGATGGTCTTTGTTAAACGTTCCAGTCAGAGACTCCTCCCTCCCTGTCAGACTGGGGGGTTTTCACAGCCCTGGACGGGGTGAAGGGAGTCATATTGGACCAGGGCATCTGACAAGGCATCTCTGCCAACATTGGAAGCCCTCCCTCCACTCTTCCACCTTCATTTTCTAGAATTAAAAAAAAAATTTCCTGTTTTGAAAGTAAAAATCTTGAGAGATTTTTTTTCTTCTTGATTCTTCAGGAACCTTGACAGGGTTTCTGAGGAGCATCTCCTGGCCCCTCCCCTAGGGGTGGGGGGACGGTCAGGCCTCCCTCCACCCAGCCCTCTGCACCATCTGTTTCTCAGCCGCAAGTGTGAACTTTTCCTCTCTCATTTGCCTTTTTCTGTAGCGTTTGTTCTCCCAATGCGAGGTCCTTTGATCTTCTGGACAAGAGACAAGAAAAAGAGAATGGAAACCCTGAGGTTCTCCTTACTTTTAATGTGGGTTTCTTTGTTATGAACGTTCTTTGCGCCAATACCACTGGGCTGCTGGAAAGGATTTGGTGGGCCGGGGAGTGGAGGAGGGTGCAGACGGGAAGGCTGGGGGCACCTCTGGGTCATGGCCAAGGAGGTGGGGAGATGGCCAGGACACTTGGGTTCAGATCCTTCCAGCGCTGCCTCTCAAGCTTGGTGCCCTTGAGCAGGTTGCCTGATTCCCGGTGAAGATGATAATAGTACATATTTCATAAAGTTGATGCCGGCACTAAATAACTTAATATGTGTAAAATGCTTGGAGCAGTCCCTAATAAACACATGTGAGCTATCATAAGAATAATAGTAATTATAATTATTACTCAAAGGGACATGTCCTCTCCCTTTTCTATAGTCCTTTATTCCAGAGCACTTCTTTAAACACACACACACACACACACACACACACACACACAAACAAACAAACACGAGAGCAAGGGAGAGGGAGAGAGAAATAGAAACATCAATGATGAGAGGGAATCATTGATTGGCTGCCTTCTACATACCCCCCACTGGGGATCAAGCTCACAACCAACACATGTGCCCTTGACTGGAATCGAACCTGGGACCTTTCAGTCCACAGGCCTACACTCTATCCACTGAGCCAAACAGGCTAGGGCTCCAGGGGACTTCTTGATCCTTTTGAGATGTGCACACACTCTCACCTCTTGTTGGACCCCAAGTTAGGAGTATGGAACTAGAGACAGGTTATAAGGCTAAGGATAGGTAAAAGGGGTTCCTTCTCAGCAGCTGAGAACATCTCTATTGGGTCGAGACCCCTTCCTTTCCTTCAGGTCTCAGCCTACTCACTTAAGGAAGAGGAGAGTTATCCTGAGCCCCCCACTCTTCCCCTCCCTTCCCCATGGAGAGGATGGATAAGAACTCTTGAAGGCAGACACGTTGAGGACCTGATTTAGAGTGGTGGAGGGCAAGGGTTCTGAAGAATAACTTTGTTATCAACGTGGCCCCCCTCTTATGAGTTGGGCGAGCTGACGCCAGTTATACAATTTCCCTGTGCTCCCATTTCTTCAGATGTAAAATGAAGGACATTGAAGAATAAATGAGATGTATCAGAAACACTCAGAATGCTGTCTGGCAGTGTTCGGTAGCAATTTTCTGTTTCATATACTCACACAAGACATTTTTCTCCTACTTTTTCCTGCTGAGTTGTTTTTGGCTTGATGGAAGCAGGTATCCTTCAGCCTTGGTCCTCCTGCGCTGCACCCACAGGCCCACCTGGTATCACAACCATGAACCTTGCTGCCAGGGAATAAATTATGAATGAAAGGGTTCCAGGTGGTCCCACAGAATACTGGTTTTCAGCAAGTAGTGCGTCATAATGAGACATGCCCTTGGCAGGATGGCCTCATTGCATAACTCTGGGAGCACATGTTCATGTAGGGCATGAGACTGGCACCCCCTGCAGTTGTGCCAGATTTTTTTCTGATGGGTTAGTCCTGGCTCTGAGTACTTCCTTGCATGACTTCTTCGCATGAGTCAACCACAGATGCTTCAGCTTTGGCTTTATATAATCAGAGCGAGTCTTGGGCAAGACAGGGGTTGGAGATGCAAAATACTTAATGTCCATTCCTGGAAGAACAGAGAGGCTCAAGCAGCTGTAGATTTCAGCTCAAAGATAGACAGACCTCTTGGTCCTTGTCCACT